TCCCTGAAGGGATCTCATAGATAAGTTTCCTGGCTTTTGTCCTCTCTGCTTACGTGCCTGCTTCATCTTTAGGTTATGGCAGCTTCAGCCTAGTCTCACAAACCATGACATCTAGAAGCAAGAAGACAAGAAGCTGAGTTTACATGCACACGTGCTGAGCCATGATTTGTTTGGTTTGCATCAGCTCAGCCATTCTTATTTAACCATGGTTTGTGAATTAGTGCGCTATGTGAACTGAGCCACCATGGCTTAATGATATGAATTCAGCCATGGTATGGTGGTGTTCAAGAAGTACTGTGCTTTGTCTAAGTATAGGCAAAATTACATGGCTTCTTCATCCAGTAAATTATTTGCAGAAATGAATTACAGTTGTGGTGGTAGATGGAACCCTCCACTCTACTTGATGTACAGTAGAGGGGACTATAGGTGGGGCATTGCAGAATTTGTGTGTTATAGTTGTTTGAAAGTTCTCTTTCCATTAGCTTTCATCATAATTATTGTATTTATTTTGTATTCGAACCCTAAATTGTGACAACTATGATTTATTAAGGCAATCTCATTTTTATAAACTATGATTTGAGGTTGGATTTCAATAAACCAATATTAAAATTAACCATATTTTTCATTTTGTACCTAACAATAAACTGTGGTTAGTTAAAAACAGGAGCAAAACTTCTGAAGTCCTTGCAGATGCATCAGAGAGTTGATGAACTGGAGGACTCTTCTAAACTATAAACACTAAAATATAGTTTAGTATTGCATCAAAATAGCTGGCGTCTTGTAGTGAAGACAAAAGTTAACAGAATGAAATATCTAGAAAGCAATAGGTTACTAAGATATTAGCAAAAGTGGTCATTTTTGTGTGTGTCTGGATTCCTTTGTGTAAGTAGATGTATGCTGATACTACAGCTTTTAACAGAAGCAATGTTTTTTGTCTTTAATAAGAGCTTGATTTACTTTTTATACAGGGAAGAGGATCCCAATATCAACTGACAGAGCCACTATGTGAGATGGGCAGCTATACAAATATGATTAAATAAATAAACTGCCTCTCCTCATAATCTGCATTTTTATCATACATGTTTTGTTTTAACTTCTTCTCCAGAAGGCTCAACACACTCAGGTTTAAAATGTGCATGTGTGTCAGTAAGAAAGAGGATTCATTTAAAAGGATGTTGAAAGTAGTTTTATTTGGATTTATTTATTTATTTATTTTGTCATTGACATGATGCAGAATGCATTGTAGTTTCATAGGCTGTTATATTTATGAAGCATTTTGTGCTGTTTAGCCTTTCTGCAGATGAATCAAATACCAAATTGAATTTTGTTTCTTGCAAAGTTAACCCTGTGGAGAGGCCAGTAGGAACAGCTAGAAAAGGAGCAACCTTTTAACTCTTCATGCGATTGCTTTGTAAAAGTCGTGGACTAAAGATAGGTCAAAAGGTTTTGACTCTGATTGTGGGCTTTTCAGCTGTGAAGTGCTGTGATCCTCCCGCATCCAAGTCCCTTCCTGGTGCTCACAATGGTACAGAATGGATTGATAGATGATGTCACCTAACCTCCTAAGGGTTATATGAGTGTTAGTAGAGTTTGCTCCCCAAGGGTTTGCTCAAGGCTATAATTTCATACATAGCTAGGATGTTTGAGGAAAAAAGGAATTTTATCTTAACAGGAATGTTGGAAAAAAACAACTACTACTAGCTTATTCTCAGCAAATATACCTCCTAAGAACAGACGGTAATTTGAAAGGGGGCAGTTTAAACTGAAAACTTCCTAGTCCCTGCCTATCAGATCAGCACTGAAGTGCTTGTTATATAAATTTAGGGCTATCATATCTGGATTGAAAAAAAAAATTACCAGGAGCAACCTAATATATAAAACACATGCATTATCTACTAAGTAAGTAAATGCTCTGGGTTGCTTAAAGTCCAGTATAGTGCTATTTAGTTCCGTGGTCACAGGTCAGATGGTCTCTCCTCTTTGGCCTACATTGATTGAACTCTAGGTTTTGAGGTTAGGACTACCAAATCTGGGCTACAAAAATCTGAATTATCACAAGATGACAGCAAAGAATTAAGGGTTTTCTCTTTCTCTTTGCTGGCATCTTGAGGTCTTCTGGAATTTTTGCAGCCCAGGTACAGTAGACTTACGTGGATCTGATAGATCAGGAGGGAAAGGAATGAACGCTTTTCCACTGGAGGATCTAAATTTTGGGGACTTTTACCAGTGGTAGATGGAACTTAAGGAACTTCCACTTCATATACTTAGACCCTACCCACAAGCATCCATGGTGTCTCAGACATATACAGAACAATTAAGTCAGAAAAGCACCTCTCGTGGGTGGCTTTTTTCAAGCCTGACTCTTCCTCAGCTCTGATCTTATAAAGATTTACCCACCAGATATATGCAGGAAATAGGCTTGAAAGAGGGTCTCAAAATCCTTTTTTAAAAAATGTTATTAAACATTGTAGAGAATTTTTTTTAAAAAAAAGGAAAAACCAAAACAGAGAAAAAAGAGGCAAAAAAACCACACCACAAAATAAATAAACAGGAACTTTATAAGTGTCATAGGATTAAATAGGACTAAATTTGTTAGGAAAGAATTTTCAATATTCTATTAATTTTACATAACCAAATATCTTTTATTGTTTTAGAACCTGCATGTCATTGTTAAAATAACTATCAGCAACAATAATTCAGCACAGTATAAATCATAAAGTATGATAAAGAATTGCAGTAATTTCTATCCAAACAGCAAAAGACCTATTCTTATTTAACAGATCATTGAAAGTCTTTTGTTAAAAGAAACCCAAATTTTGGATGTGGTACAAGTCCATATAGGAATTATAATCCAAAAATGCTTTCTAAATTGAATTACATTCTGCATCAGATTTACTTTCGAAATACAAAATTGTTTTGGACATCGAGGCATAATCTCACAAATTAATTAGCCGTTCTTCTCCAAATGGAACTTTCCAGTAAGAAGTATAAAATATCCTTGTTGCAGTTATATTACTAGTTTGGTATACTTTATGGGGATATGTAAGGTTTAGTAATATTTAATTTTTATAAAGCAGGTTGGAAAGGAAATTCAGCTTTTAAATTTATTTCATTCCCTTATAAATCATTTCCCCAAATCATTGAGTTTTGCAACATTACCACCAGATATGGAAAAAATGATCCAACTTGTTATATTTTCAACAATGTTTAGAAAATGTCCATTTTAGCAATAAGTACTGGAATAATATACCAGCAGTAAAACATCTTGCACCTGTTTTTTCTAAGTATAATATTTCATATAAATGTAATGCTTTTCTTCTGCTGAAATTCTTATTGCGGCATATCAATTATTGTGTCTAAATTCTGCATCCATTTAATCATAGTCTATTTCTGAATCATATTTCACCAACAGCTTACAAATAAGACCCAGCAAATGCTCTGAATTAGCTTCTCAAAATCCTTATTGCTTGGGGTCAAGGAGGAAGACGTTAAAGGGTCCAAGGTCACACTCAGCCCATAAATTGCTGGTTCTCCTCTCATTTCTCAGAAGAATGTTTAAAACTAGAGCCAATTGGCTTTTATTGTATCTAGAGAGCTGCCAAGTGTTAAAAAGTTCCTCTAGATACAACTCTATTTTTAATATGTATTTCTTCCATAGATCTTGTTAGTGTTCAGGAATCCAACAAAATGTATGCATGGATAGGAACTGGGAATACATCCACTGTCACATTATGAAGTTTATCTCTTTATAGGAAGATGAGCAGGCAACCAGAAGATGTAGTTAATGAACATAGTTCTAGTTTGCATCCTGTGAGCATCTCAAGAGCCCTGCTATATGCCTACGTAATCCAGCATTCTCTCTTACACTTATGGAAGTATAATGGAAGAGCAATAACCAACTTGAGCTATTGTTCTGTAGCAATGGATATTTAAGGCTGTCCTGCATTTGATTTTGGAAATAGTGTATAATAGTAACTAGCTATCGATAGCCTAACATACATTTTGATTGATTGATTATGTGCCATCAAGTCATTTTTGACTCTGAGTGACCACATAGATTTTCTCTGTAAAGATCTATCCCCCACCTGTTCTTTCAGGTCTGTCAGTGGGGCATTTATCACCACTGTTTGTTTGTTTTTTAATCTGCGCTCAGTCGTTACCGACTCTGCAGTGACTGCTTGGACGAGTCCTTGCAGTTTTCAAGGCAAGGTATTT